CACTGAGTTTCATGGCCCCGATCTCAGCAAACTGCAATGAACTCGCCCATCTCATACTGCTGCATTGCAGGAGCCTTCAGGGACTGGGATATGGCGGAAACACAAGCCCTGGTGCAAAAAAAAAAAAAAAAAAAAACCCACACCAAAAAAAGAGTAAAAACTTGTTTAGCCTTGTTGTGTTTGATTATCTGGGAGAAATGGCAATGAAACTCTGTTCTCCAGTGACACAAGCACTGGGATTTTGGGCCAAGGGGGGCTGGATCAGCTGAGCCCCTCTAACACCTCCATCCCTCATCAACCTGATGGCTTTTCATGGGCACTTCTCTCTGAACTCTGTTATCAGCACTGAGGTGAAGGAATACCCAGCCAAGCTTCCAATGTCTCCCCTGATTTTCACCTCTCTTTTGTCCAGGACCTGCAGTCTCATAGTTCCCTGTGCAACAGAGAGGTGGTTTAACACCTGTGAAGGGCTAATTAACCRGTGGCTCACAGGAAATTGGGCATTCCTAGAGGATTTCTCCTCTGTCCCCAAAGGGTAATTGTTATAAAAAGCCATTAGCACCCTTTTTATAGATGCAATAATACACCAATTAGTGGCATTGATGTGTTTAATTGTTGGTACCACAGCTGCTGCATTACTGCTTCAAAACTTGTCGTGTATCCAGCCAGCCCAGCTGGGAATTAAGATTTCCTTTGGCATTAAATTTTTAACYGTACTTGATGCCTTTTCAGGTGCAGAAAGAACATTACCCKACTCTTGTCACTAGAACAAAGATGRATTGCATTGAAAAGGTAATAAACTTGCCATTTGCTCACTTGCAAGCTTAGCGGGAGGGAGTTCAGCCCCTGAATAATTATTGGCATGGAGGAGGAAAACAGCTAMAAAGAATACTCCCGCTCACCTGGTTTGGTGGAATAGGGGATGGGCAATAAAGGGAAATAATAGTGGCACATGTGCCAGCTGTAKAGAAACTCCAATAYAAAAGCCAGARTATAARGAATCAACAGRGAAACTCCTGAAGTGTCAGTGAAARAATGTGGTGCTGGTGTACCAGCTAGTGCATGACGCTGCTGTGTTGGAAGAAACTGGGAATTTCCTTGTATTTGGTGAGAAAAAGCTGCGGGATCATGGCCTTGAAACAGTCACCACAGCACAGAGATTTCCTTCCTTATGGATATACCAACTACAACAAATCATTTCCATTTGTCTCTTGAAATGTAAGAAAATTTTAGACAATAATAAGACCTCCTTCAGTAAGAATTTTAGCTAAGCCTTATAAAAATGCTACCYTTATGCTTATGTTTAAGCTTGTACCTCCAGCCATGACAGACGAGGAAGAGCCACAGCAGATTTGAACTTACTCTGTGGAAATCTTGGCTATCGTGTCGCAGGAACTGTACTCCACCCCCGTGAAAATGTCCTTGCACTGCCCTGTCCGAAAGCCGTTGAGCCAATCCCCCGTGGTGCGGAAGGATGAAATGTCAATGTTGCTTTGGTCCAGGAGGAGATTCGATGGCCTGAAAGAAAAGAATAATGGGGTGGAAGTTAGGGAGCAGGGATGAACACYGATTTATTCGGTGTCTAAACTCAGCAGTGGCAGGAGCATCCAGGCTGGATATGGCTTTGCTGTTTGTCTGTGCAAGTCCTCAGCTGCTGAGGCCACCACAGGGGCTGACGCTGGAAGCTCTGACAGAAGCTGTGTCACCATCCTGCTSAGGAGCACCAGCTTCTCAGGCCCGTGTTTAAATCACTGCAGCACTCACAGAGTGTGTTGTTACCTCACAATTTAATGTGTGAAGAACTAACAAAGACTAACTCAGGTTAYATCTATGGGATTCACCGAGTCGCAAACATCACACGAACGATGCTGCAGGCAACAAGCTGAATGTGTTAGGAGAATTTGCTCATACCAAATATTCAGAATATTGAGGCCCACTGACAACTCCTAAATGTTGCTACTAAGTTAGAAGCCTCWACAATAAATAAAATACCTTATTTTTATTGTTTTATTGCAGGCTATAAGCCAAGCRTGTGCTTAGCTGTGCTACACTTGAGCACAGGAGACTGAACTAGAGAATGTTCAAAGCACTTGTCTCTGCAACTTCACAGTCTATTTCCTGCACCATAATTCTTTTTCCCTCTCGTAACCTGCACAGGAGTCTGACTACCACTGCGGAACCCATTTGAAGTGACTTTTGTCACTGACAGCAGTGAAAATGAGAGGTGGCTGGACTGACAGCATAATTTAAAGGCAGCGATTACAGAGTAACAGGTAGGTGACAGCTACTGCTACTAGAGAGCTGATCTGGATTGTAAAACACTCTCCCCACCCCAAACTCAAGTCACCTCTGAGCACTGGAACAAAAAGAAATAGGAGGAGATTTTAAAGGAGAGAAAACCGAGAGAACCATGTATTTAAATACCAGTGAGTTTAAGCTCATAGGAAGCCCAGAAAACTCAAATCGTTCTCCTTTCCAATATGCCCTGAATTTCATCAAGAACAGCAGCACCAAAACAGCCCATCCTTACAGCACATCTGACCTGCCCTGGATTCAGGAGATACCACATCAGTTACATACCATTAGTTACATCAAGATTTCCACCTTTCCCTTTTGAAGAAAACATTATAGCTTTGTGAAACAATGGTGGTTTTTTGCTATTCACCATATATTAAACAGCTCCTTTAACTTCTGATGTTTTCCCAATTGTTATTGATCTTTGAATTTTTTGCTAATCAGGCCCAAGATAATTTTAATCAGTAGCTGTAAGGCCTGAATTTCACTGACTACTGTTTATCCCATGAAGAGCCAATGCTTTTTATTTATTGTTTTCTGGGTATATTTTATTTATTGTTTTCTTGGTCTGCAATCCCAAGATATTAATTAAGAGTATTTATGAAGTGTTCTTAGTGATAAAGCACGGATTATTATTTTTTCCCCAGCCTCGTACGCCTTTTTACTTAAGTCTAATAAAGCAAGGTCTGACTCAAGAATCACTAATGAAAGAAAAAGTATAAACAAGTTGAAATAGAACAGAACTCTAGGATTAGGAATTAGAAGGGCCCAAAAGAGCCTTTATGTTTATTACTTGGATCAAAGTATCATCATGACAAAAAATATGACCTCATTTTAATGCAAGTGACCTCAGAATAACCAGCACTGTAAAGTATCATTTTTCTTCTTGCAGGATTCCAAACAAAAATTAGTTACTTTCCTCCTCAGAGAGGACATCTGGACTGTTTATCAATGAGCAGGAATTTGCCTTGCTGCGAAGAGCCTGTGATGTCTCCTCATGTGCATCAGGGGAAAGCTGGGCTTGCAGAGCATCTGCAGAGCCTGGCAGGTTTCCCCCCCCCTGACCCAGCCCCCAGACAGAAGGGCTGGACATGAAATTTATGGTCTGGGTGATGTGCGCCATGAGCTCACACTTTAGCAGACAAATTAGACGGGTTGCACTCCGTGCAGCTGTAAACGACGTCCTGCAGGGTTCCACCTGATCCTTTACAGCTTTTCATAAATCAGTACCTACCACTTTCAGAAGAGAGTCATTAAAAAGAAATCATGGAAATTACATGTTTGCTCAGGGGAAGCGCAAGAGAACATTTCTCTCCATCTTTTCTCCTCTCCCTTCCTCTTCCCCCCCACCCCTTTTTAGACTCTTTTTTACTTTGTTGCTTTGACTATGACACAGCCTATCATGTCACCTTGTGAYGGTCATTAATGCAAGATTTTCTGTCCTGTTCACCCTGACTGTAGGCCCTATCTACAAAGTTGCATTTACTGACATGTTGTGCACTGAAAAAAAAGTCAGCAAGACTCAGTTTGGAGAGACAAACTGAACAGTGAGATGCCAGTTACAAAACATCCCGTGGCTGGAGGCTTTCTCTGGATGTGTCCACTGCTTTAATAGTTGGAATTAACCTTTGTGCCATCTACAGTGAGGGGAACTATTGTGTGTTGTCATTAGCTCAGCTTTTTGTAACAACACAGGGAGACTTTCGCTGTACTAACAAGAAAAAGCACAGAAAACATCATTAGAATCCTTTCCAATGCAGCATGAAAATCTCATTTCTGGTTGGCTGCTGTCTGGGGACAAAAGGAGATGCACTAACTTGTAAAATCCAGGAATTGRGACAAAGAAAATGAAAATCTCCTGGCATTTCTGCAAATACATAGAGGAGTTGTGCACACACAATCCCAAACTTTGCACTGTAGGAACCCCCCTCTTTCTATCCCTTCTTCCAAACAGCACAACCAACTTTCAGTTATTTAAATCTAGACTTTCCCTTCCACAGTCAATTTCCTTTAAAGAGGAAAGCATTTGAAAAAAAAAAAAAACACCATAAAGTAATTTCCTGTGGCAAATTTTAGGTAATTAAAAGCTGATTCTGTAAAGCAAAATTGCTCCCTATAAGCCCRGTTGGAACAAAAATCCTATGGGCTTTATGATTATGGCAGGCTGAAGCACAGAATTCAGGTTTAACAAGAATTCTGTTTCAGGAGAAAAATAACCCCAAAAACAACAGGTGGCATGGAAAGCAAATTTTGGTTTTATCTTCTACAGCAATCAGACTCATGTACATACATGTGTATCAACAGGAAACCAGTAAATAAATGGAACAGAGAAGTGGAGTTATCCTGATTACTTGATTATCCTTGGCCCTTAAAGATAAAAATCTTYGGAGTTCCAACTCTTCAAGCCCATTTTTAACGATGCTCTTAGCAGAGTGTGTAATTTAGTCCCTAAAGTACAATTCACCTCTCTAGGGGGCAYATTTGCTTTTCCCAAAGGCCTTCACGTGATGTTTTCATACTCCCCAAATAAGCAGGTTGTGAATACACTTTAATGGCTTAAAATCTGCCATTTACTCTGGAMAACTTGCCTTTTTATCTCACTTTTGGCTGCACTGTCGTTGCCTACAATCAAAAGAGAAAAAACCGCTTGCAAAAGTTAGAATAATAAAGTGAAAAGCAGACTTTGATTTGGACGCTTCCAGGTGTCCCAGTGGTGACAGGCACATTCAGAATGGGGTTTCTACAATTTTATGAGGTTAATTAATTAGGATATTTAACAGGTACCTCCAGCAGAAGCAGCTGCCCCAGCAACCCACCCATGGGTCCAAGGGGTTCTCYGCCCGCTTCTTATTGCAGGTCCTCTGCTTGGAATAAAACTAAACAATGTTTCAGGAATGTGTTTAGAAGGCTAGCTTATTGTCCTACTAGAGGAAAAGGGCAGGAAAAGCCCTGGAGCTACAGCTGTGGATTAGCAAAGTACAAAGTTACAAATATATGAAAAATACATAAAAAGCTTAGGTATCACAGTGAATTTCTACTTTTGCCACCAGAAGGATGGCAAAGGCTCTGTGCAATTCCTCTTTCCAGCATTCCCAGTGTGAAATTGCCACTGCCACTAACGAGGGCTCCAGGAGCTGAGAACAGCAGAACAAAAACCCCTCGGAAATCTCAATAAACACCAAACTTTCCTCCCCATCAGCCCACCCGCTGSCCCAGCTGCATTTCTGTTTAAATTACAGAGTGCCCAGCTCGTCCCTGCTGCAAATTCCTGCCCAAGGTTCGAGGAGTGGAGGCAAATTAGAGGTGTGAAACTGCAAATAGATGTTTTRTTGTCCCTGTGAACAGGGAGCCCCAGCTCACCTCCAGCTACTCACTTTGGAGGGACAGTGGCTGTCCCAGGCTCAGTAATAGTGACTGCTGGGAAAATCAGGTGAAAACAGGGCTTTTGTGTCTCCAGCTGAATGAAGCCCCTAAAAATCTCTTCAACCTAACCCCTGTACAATCCAAACTATGTTTAGGCACCGAAGAGTGTAATTTACTGTATTCCATTTTGTGATTTGTAGTTAAGGGTTTTTTTTTCCCCTCCATAAATTCACTATTTTATGTTTAGCAGGCTTCAGAGAAAGAGCTGGAGTTGTACGTTTACATTACTTGAATTCTTTTAGAGTGAACAGGACACAGATTATGTTGTTGCTGGATTTTAAACGGGGCTTAAAATTCACACAGAACCTCGCTCTACACAGCATTTGGCCAAACTCAGACCCTGTTGTTAAGAACCTGACAACATCCAAGGAAAACTGAAATGTCCTTCTCTCTTCCATCCTGGAAGTGCCTAACAGGGAGAAGCAAACAAACAATAATACAGCAGGTCAGCAATATATGTCAAGCATCTGAAACCTTGTGACCTGAATGGCAAAAAAAAGGGGATTTCTCAACAAAACGTTCAGCCAGTCTAAACAGTCATGTCATTGCAAATATTTTTGTAAAAACAGGGCTTGAATTATGCTGCATAAAGAAGCAAATCTGAWTTTTTTTATTTGTCCTGTTCACTGCCCCATTTTGAGCTTGATTTTCATAAAAAYCTTACCAAGCTAGAATATAGAGTGTTTCCACTGAATTATCAGATTTTAGGTGGAAATAAACTTTGTGAGGAGCAAACTTCAAATTTTAAATTGTAAGCACTGCCCTTGGATGTCTGAGAATGACACCAGTGAGAGCAACAC